AAATAGCCCATATTACAAAATCCCAAAACCAGAGATGCTGGCGTGGATGTGGAGAAAAGGGAACACTTCTACACTGCTGGTGGGAATGCAAACTAATATGCTCCTTTTGGAAAAATGTCTGGAGAACACTTAGAGAACTAAAAATAGACCTGCCATTTGATCCTGCAGTTCCTTTATTAGGCATATACCCAGAAGACCAAAAATCACATTACAACAAAAATATTTGTATCAGAATGTTTATTGCAGCCCAATTCATAATTGCCAGGTCATGGAAGAAGCCCAAGGGCCATCAATTCACGAGTGGATCAACAAAGTGTGGTATATGTACACTATGGAATACTATGCAGCCACAATGAAAGATGGAGACTCTATGTCATTCATGTTCACATAGATGGAGCTGGACAGTGTTCTTAGAAAAGTATCACAGGAATGGAATAAAAAGTATCCAATGTACACAACCCTATTATGAAATTAATTTATAGCTTTCTTATGAAATCTATAACCTAATAACAGCCTAAGTATATGGAGGGGGAGGGAGAAGGTAGGGGGAAATGGGTGGAGGGAGGGTGATTGGAGAGATCACTTCTATGGTTTACCTTCCAAGGGTACAAGTGAATCTTTCTAAGAGTAGAATATGAATGTCTTAACACAATAACTAAGAAAATGACATGAAGGCTATGTTAACCAGTTTGATGAAAATATTTAAAGTTGTATATGAAAACACCACACTGTACCCCAGAATTGCATTAATGTACATAGTTATCATTTATTTAAAAAAAAGAAAGAAAGAAAAGAAAAGAAAAGTCTGCTGTCATCCTAATAGCTCTGGCTCTGTAGGTGAGTTGGCATTTACTCCTGGCTGCTTGCAGAATTTTCTCTTTCATCTTGACTTTGGACAGGTTTATTGCAATGTGTCTTGGAGAGGCTCTATTTGAGAAGATGACCCAGTGTTCAATATTCGTCTGAAAGGCGTGTGTCCGGTCTTTACCAAAATTTGGGACATTTTCATTTATGATATTCTCCAGTAGAGCTTCCATTCCTTTGGGACAATCTTCTTCTCCTTCAGAAATCCCTATTATTTGTATGTTTGAACACTTCATCGGGTCTTGTAGTTCTCAGAACACCTGTTCTCCTTTCTGTCTCTTCTTTTCTGCCTCTTTAACTACCTGGGTTAACTCAAAAACTTTATCCTCTAGTTCTGAGGTTCTTTCTTCTTCATAGTCTAACCTATTTTTGATACTTTCTACTGCATCCTTATTTTCTCTGATTGTCTCCTTCCTTAAGCTCTACCATATCCTTTCTATATTCTACATATCTCTTGTCCAACTTTTGGTTCTGTCTTTCCATTTTCTCATCCATTCCTTTTATTGTCTTTACCATCCATATTTTAAATTCCTTTTTTTAAAGTCCATTAATTCTTTATAGGTAGATTCTTCTGCAGTAGCTGCCTCATGGTCCCTTAGGGGAGTTCATCTGTTTTGGTTTTTCATGTTGCCTGAATTTTTCTGTTGGTTCCTTCCCATGAGTTCTTTCTTGTCCTCCTTTTTCCTTCTTACTGCCTCCTTTGCTTCAGAAGTCCTTACTCTTGATGACAGTATGTTGCAGTATGTTGCTGTATGTTGCTGGGACACCAGGTGGTGCTGTGGTTTTTGTAGAAAGCAGAGCCAGCACCCTCTATGGTCCTTATTCCAAACTTAGTTGCCTTTGGTGATCACCTGATTATTTCCTCAGCATCCGGGCCCTGCAGGGTTGGGATCTTAAAGCTCACAAGAATCTTTCAGGGGCAGGTCTCACAGTGTCCCATGACTCCAGTTCACATGGGGTATGGGAGTACCTCAACCTATCCCAAGAGTGGAGTCCTGATCCCAGCAGACAGAATTAAGATGGCCATGATTCAGGCCCCTGCTAAATAAGACCTTCTCAAGACCTTTCCACAATCGTAGCTCCCTGGCTGGCACCACCTTCTCAGTATGGCTGCCTTGCCAGCCACCAAACCTATGACAAAGCCACTCCTTCCTACATTCAGATCTGGTTTCTGTATACTATTCTAATCCTCCCACTCTTCTAAGCTTTCTACTCAACATGCAGCTTCCCCCAACAACTTCAAATTCCAGAAGTACTTC